ACCAAGTGACTCTCCCCAGGAATGAAAGACAGGACTATCTCTGCAGAGAAGCATATGGATATTCACACTACATTCACGTTTCCCATTGGTTCAGGTAGTTACTGAAGACAAATTAGGTCAAGTGAGATTCTGTCTCCAAATGAGTCATGGGAAAAAGGGAAAAAAAGACGCAAAACAAAACAAAAATCATGCCCTGGTTCTCAGACCTTTGCAGATTTTAGAAATGAGGGTATCAGTATTGAGGACATGAAGTTGTGTAGATCGAAGAGTATATTCACATTCTTCGTGGACACTCGGCTGGCGTTACCTTGTACTCAAGAAATAAAGCAATGATCGCAAGTAATGGCAGATTTAACTCTTACAACCCTCCAGGGGAATGCCTACTGTTGAGTGTTAGACTAGATTCGCATTTCCTTCGGCACACTTCCGGAGACGAAATCGGTTGAAATTCATAGTGAGGGACCACTGAGTGCACACTGTGAAGCTGAGACTCGCTCTAATCCCTTGTAGTGCATGGAGACAATCCGTTTGTGAGAAACACAAACACTAAGTGTGGTCAGTAGAGCCTGGTCTTTCAACTCTTTCCAATTATGGTAGGCTGTATCCTTTTGTGTTTAGCTTAAGGACCCCCATATTTTATTATCTTAATGGATGTGTGAGTGTGCCTGCACACACAGTCAGACAATGCATGTAGTTCACATCACTACATTATCATCTGTCCGCTTATTCCGTGTTGACTGCTCTCCGTGGACTACAAATTCAATGTCTTCGTGCCTGACTAACCACCGGAGCATCCCTGGATGGGAGTACTATGCCCATGTTCAATAAATATTTGTAAATGGAGAGGCAGTATTTCACAGTATTTGAGAGCATGGCTGCGGGAGCTTGGCAGCCCAGTACAACTCCCAGCTCTGCTGCATCTTGGCTTTGAGTCTGTGGACAAGTTGTTCAAACTCTCTGCATCAGTGTCTGCGTTTGTCAAACTCAGCATCACGAGACTTACTGGATCAACTTAGACAGCCTACGTATGCCATGATAACAAACACCAGACCTCCATGGCTTGAAACAAAGATTTTTTTTGTCTTGTTTTATCACATGTTCATAATAGATTGGCTAGAACTCAGCCATTTGTCACCCGCAGGACCCAGACAGCCTGGGCAAGCATGGCCTCGCTCCATGTGGCCTCAGAGCAAAGAGAACATCATTTACAGCCTAACACTGGTAAATAAATATTTGGCCTGAAAGTGACATCAGTCTCTTCTGTTTACACAGAGGAATCACCTGACTCCTCCCCTTCCTGCCATGCACCAGGAGGTGCACAGGGGCACAAAGACACCCCCCCCCCATCCCACCCTTCACAGGGCTGTCATGATATTAAAAGGCTTAATGTGGGGAAAGCACTTAAAAATTCATCTGCCATCTAGTTACATACTATGCTTGTTGCTGCTTTTACTAGTTTATTAAACTGAACGAATCCGTGTTTTCGCAGATGACCTGCAAACTTCAGGTTTCTCCAGATCAGCCTGAATCCGAGTAAATGTTGCATGCCCGTTGTTTTATTGCCCTTTCGTGACCAAATCAAAATCCACACCCACAGTGCCATCAAGTCGACTCTGTCTCATAGCAACCCGACAGGTCCGTCTGAGAACTGCGCATTAGGCTTCCCGTTCTGCGACTTTCCCTGGAGCGGGCAGTAGAACCACCAGCTGTAGGGTTACTTGCCCGCTGCTTATCCCACAGCGCTCACAGGGACCCTTTGTTGAGCAACCAGGGAGTGCTAATGCCCCAGGGACAGACTCTTCTCTTCCATGCCAACCCAGCACCACTCTCAGGATTTTCCCTCCAACCTCATCTGCCTTGATTTGGACCCCAGAGGGCAAACCCAGGGGGGTAGTCGAAGGGAAATGAGCCCCAGTCATTTCTAGGTGTTGGCCGCTGTGAAGTTCCCGGTGCTAAATGTGTTTCACACAAAAATTGATGCTTCAAGCTGTGGCGTGCAAACAGCAGTCTGTCTTTCTCCGTTTCAGATGCCTGCTTCCTCCAGCTCTGGCTCGCCTTTGTGTTTATGTCAACAACTCTCAACCATCTGGACCACAGAGAGCCACTTGGAAGGGTGTGCTCACTCCTTGCAAGAAAGCACCAAACCAAAGGACGACCTCCCAGCATGTCTGCCGAACAGAAAACGGGACTGAACATCACAGCCCTCATGGAGCGGTTTAAAAAAGGAATGTTCCTGAGGTGTCAGAATCAAAGGACTTAAATCGAAGAGCAGAGAAGAGCGTGTCAGAATACCTGCCACTCCGACAAGCAGAGACCCAGTACTAGAAGATCCTATCCTGTGGTGTTACCTGTTCAGGTATGATGAGCAGTCAAGTTCTGTGCCATCCAAATTACCTCAAGATGGAAAGGCCTGGGGGAAGTGTGTCAGCCAGGTGGGCAAACGGAGCGGAGGCTTCCGCTCGCCTCGTCTGCGATCGTCAGCTCCAAATCTCTCAGTCCTACCCGAGGGAGGAGACCAGCAGTCGGAAGCATCTCCAGGATAACAAGGAAGCTAAAATGTTAGCATCCCCAACCTTTCAGGGTAGGGGGCAAATCCTAGTCATGTATACTCTGTTGATATATATGTATGAGAGGGCGAGAAAAAGTTCATGGGAGAATTCCAGTCTCTTGTCATTCCATTTTCCCATAGGCCTGTTTAATGTCCCCCTGCACCCTGTCTGTATCTATAGGAGCCTGGCTGGTCCAGTGGTTCGGTAGTTGGTTGAGAACTAAAAGGTTAGTGAAATGAGTCCCCCAGGTACCCGGCAAGAGAAAGATGTTTCAGAGGGTGGCTACGAGCCAAAATTAATAGCGGTGGCCATGGTGGTGGTGGTGGTGATGGTGGTGGTGGTGGTGGTGGTGGTGGTGGTGGTGGGTGTTGAATTTGGTCATAGGTCAGACTATCAAAATAAATGAGGGTAGCCATCTGTGTGTGAATTCTTCTCAGACCTCTCTCATTCTATGTCCTTATTCTGGTTCCCTGACCCCTCATGTTGAGTAGCTCTCGTCCTTGAAACCGGCCCATTTCTAGGTTGCTTTGTTTCAATCGAGTGAGAGGCATCTCTAAGCAAGAACGAATGCTCATCCTCAGGAAGCCTCAAAGGAAACGCCTTTTAATTATTGATCAGACACATAAGGGGACAGAATGAGAAAGCAGGGGCACGTCGTCCCTAGTTTCTGTACAGAGTCTGTCACCGGAAATCACTTCTCCTGAGTAAACGACACTGTTTGATAACCCAGTTGTAACCACACAACGCACACTCCTGGTTTCTTTTCTAGGGATCATGTGCCGTTTCCTTACTTTCTGCCATCTGGCGATTGTACCACTGCCGACTCGTCATGTATAATTCCTTGGATTCCAAGCTATTTTCAGGCCCTCATTTCAATCGCCCAACTCCAAAACAACAGTATTATAAACCTATCTTTAAACAGTTCAAATTGATTCCTAAGCCCGAGGGTAGCTTTCTTGGGACTATCAGGATTACCTACAAGACCATAAACATGCACAAGACAGGCTTCCAGTGATCATGTTTGGTCCACAGAGTATAGACTCCACAACTGGCAAAAGAAGTAGGCATTTGTGAAATATCGATCATAAACCCTAGCCCCGGCCTCCAACACAGACTCCAACTAGACTTTCGTTTACAGATGAGAAAAAGACCCCACCCCCAAAATCCTGCCCATATTTACAGATGTTTGATGCTGGATATTTACAACCACAAATCCACATCCAAAGGGAAAGATGTTGTTCTTTCCAACCCCATCCATTCAAAGGTCATGGAAATATGGGTTAAACTGTAGAAAGATCTCCAAATATGATACTTCCTCTGATTCTTTGAAACAGGGGTCCTCAAACTACAGCCCATGGGCCACATGCAGCCCGCTGAGGACATTTATCTGGCCCACCGGGTGCTTTTGCCCCGTTTTGTTTTTTCACTTCAAAATAAGATATGTGCAGTGTGCATAGGAATTTGTTCATAGCTTTTTTTTTATACTATAGTCCAGCCCTCCAATGGTCTGAGGGACAGTGAACTGGCCCCCTGTTTAAAAAGTTTGAGGACCCCTGCTTTGAAAGGTGTTTAAAATGGCATTTAAAGCGGTTTAAACTTTAAGATAATTAAATTAAATCAAGTTAGTTTCTTCAAATGCAACACTTCATTTTCTGGAAAATTCTTGTATACAGACCACCTCATTCTCCAGGGATTGCAAATCAAGGTGCTACCCTGCCACTCAAATCCTGATACCACACACAGCGCAGCACCATCCACCATAGTAAGGTCACTATCATCAAGTGGAGTCCATCTGAGAAAGGCCCTATAGGATGGAGTGGAAACACCTCTGTGGATTGCTGAGACCAACTCTTTACAGGAGTAGAGAGCCTGTCTTTCTCCCAAGAAGTGGCTGGTGGATTCTAACTGCTGACCTTGCAGCTAGCAGCCCAACCTGTAACCCATGAGGCCACCCTCCTATCAGTGAGCAAAGTGGTACACAACCAGCTTATCTGCTCCAGGGAACTCTTGCAGGAGTCCCAATTTACGATGCTATTTTCAAAACATTCGCCAATCCACGGGAAGGGGGGGTGTGTGCATTGTTTGAGAAAGGCAAATTAGGTGATTTGGCAGAATAAGGGAAAATAAAACTTTTAGGAGTTGAAGACATCTGCTTCCTGGTCCAATGGGTGTCTCTTGCCATCTGCATTCCTGGCAACCCAGTTTTGTCTTAGACAGACCGACGAGTCCCAGAGGACTTGAACGGATTCAACACAGTCTCCTCTACAGCCTAGTCATTTGCCCTTCCAACATTAGCCAATAATAGGACAGGCTTTGCTCACCCTTCCAGGCATACCAAGGAGAAAGCCAACCAAACACTTTCAAAAACATCAACCACCAGTTAGCAACCAGAAGCCTTTTAGAGAATGCCACCTGCCCCCACATTTCAGGAGTAGCAAAAAGGCAGCCTACCTTGCTCTCCTCCCGTTCGAACACAGACTGGTGCACGTTGCACGCAAACAAGGAGTTGGGGAGGTCGTTGAAGTCGGTGATGGCTTGAAAGGCTTCCTCAGCGAAGCACTGGGTGACAGCCCAGTCTCTGTCGATGCAGCAGAGTAGCAAAAGCCCTCCATCCTCCGAGATGTGCACAGGCTGCCCCGGGCTCCTCATGCCGATGAAGAACGATTCTCCCCTCATCTCTGAGGAGACAAGGAAGGTCAGGTGTTAGAGATACAGATGCAGTTCTCTATCCTCTGGGTTGGGGAAGGGGAGTGTAACTAGGAGCCATAGGGGCTGTTGGGGGAGGACAGATTCAGGAAGTCCACGTTGCTGTATCCTCTGGCTCTCTAAACCACAATTTCTCCAACAACTTTGCTTCTGGGCAAGAATGTATCGTGCTGTGGTCCAAAAAGCACTTTACCAGGACAGGAAGTGGAAGTCTGGGTCTCTAGCCTGGCTCCCAATATTTACAGGAGTTGGGCCCTGAAAAGGCCATATATAGTCTGAGTTTTTGTTTCTTCTTCTTCTTAGAATCTGTATGGCAGGACCTATACTTTTTCTTTAAAACACTGTAAGAATCAAATGGCCAGGGATGTGAATAGTCTTGCTCTCAGACAGAGTCCATTGGAAAGTGGACTCATGCAATAGCAATTAGGTTGAGAGGAGCCCTCCTGGCAGTGGTTACAAGTTGGTCTTCATTCTGAAAGGTCAGCAGTTCAAAACCACTGGTCAGCCTGCAGGAAAAAGTTGGGGCTTTCTATTCTTGAAAACAGTGACAGTCTCAGAAATTCACAGGGACAGTTCCACCCTGTCCTGCAGGGTCACTCTGGGTCGGCAACAACTCAATTGCAGTGAGTTTGTTTTTTGTAGTTTTGAGAGTTAGGTTAAAATGTAACACTTGATCATTTGCTCTCCCTTTTAAATTTGTTCTAGTTTTTACTATTTTCTGCTTTCTCTTTGATGTTTTTCTTCATTTAATTGTGTTGCTGGGGTTTGCGTGTGTTTTTCTTCGGGGTATGTTTTTCTTTACATGAAGCCCAGAATAGGTAGATCTAGAGAGGCAGCAACTGGATTCATAGCTTCTTAGGGTTATAGCAGGAGCCCTGGTGGTGTCGTAGTACGAGTTGGGTTGCCAACTGCAGGGAGACAGATGGGATGGCTTTCTACCCCCATTAACAGCTAGTCTTGAACACTCCCAGGGGCTGCTCTACTCTGCCCTCTGGGTTGCTATGAGTCAGAATCAACTTGATGGCAGTGAGAGGCTGTAATAGTCTGGGTACTTCAGAAAAACAAATCCACAGAAGCTCATATATAAGACAGAGTTTTATATAAAGGGTAAGTGTGCATCAAGAAAACATCCCAACTCAGTGCTGCCCAAGCCCACAAGTCCAACATTAACCCATATGTCCAACACCAATCCACAAAGTCCTCCTCCATCTCACAAAACACACGCAATGATGCCGACTGCAGGAGGAAAGCTGAGTCAGTGAATGTGTAAGCATCTCAGGGCTGGCAGGGGTCTCCACACGGCTGCTCCAGCACCCAGGGCTGCATCAGGGTAGGTCCATGTGGCTTCTCCTTGGGAATGTCTCGCAGGAAGTGAACCTTGCCAGCTGAAGCAGGGAACTGACTAAGGCAGCAGCACCGTGGCTCAACCATCACAAAGCAAGAGATCCAAGAAACTAGAAACCCAAGCCATTTATCCCTCCGCCCTTCAATTATCCCCACATGTGTTTATTGGCCAGATTGGCACAGAGGGTTATAGCGAGGGGGGTGGGTGGGGCAGAATGGGTAGCTAACAACGAGCACAAGAATGAAGAAAATGTTGGCCCAACACATAGCCTATGACACCACCAGGGTTCCTGCTAGCTGGAAAATCCAAACCCAAACCAAACTCACCGCCATTGACTCGACGCCAACTCAGAGCCAACCTGTAAGGCAGAGCACAACTGTCCCTGTGGGCTTCTGGGTCTAACTCTTTTAGTTGTTTTAATCATTTTATTGGGGGTTCATAAAACTCATCACAATCCACACATCCATCCATTGGGTCAAGCACATTTGTTGCCATCATCATTTTCAAAATATTTTCTTTCTACTTTAGCCCTTGGTATCAGTTCATTTGCCGAGCCTCCCTCCCTCATGAACCCTTGATAATTTATAAATTATTATTTTTTTATGTTTTGCACCGATGAAACATACAACTTTCCTCTAGTTCTTTAATGCTTCCTCCCCCCCACTATCATGATCCCTTACAAATCCAGCTAGACCAGAGGATGTACACTAGGAGCTAGAAACACAGGGAATCCAGGACAGATCAACCCCTCAGGACCAATAATTAGGGTAGCAATACCAGGAGGGTAAGGGGAAGGTGGGGGGAGAAAGGGGAAACTGATCACAATGATGTACATATAACCCCCTCCCTGGGGGGCAGACAACAGAAAAGTGGGTGAAGGGAGACATTGGACAGTGTGAGACTAACTCTTCATGGGAGTGGAAAGCCTCAGCCTTCTCCCTTGGAGCAGCTGGGTGTTTTGAACTGTTGACCTTGCTGTTAGCAGCCCACAGGTAATCACTACATCGCCAGGGCTCCTTTAAGTTGGAATTGAAGGCAAAAGTAATAGAATCTGAGCTAATGACTCTAAGATTACTCTAACTGTAGTCAACAAAAATTAGAGTCTATATAAAATTTAATGGAACAATCTTGTATTCTAAAACTTTTAAAATTCTAATGCAATATCTTCTATATTTAAGCCAGCAATATAATAGATTGAAGTAAAAATATGATACATGTTTTAAGCTATGCTCTATCCTATAAGCCACCTAAAATACATGAGTGTATTAGTTAAAAAGAAAATTGACATTAATATGAAGATAATTCAACTGCAAGAGATCTTTAATGAAATATATATGCATACATTTTTAATTTATAGTGTAGCACTCCCAATAACTATTACTTATTAGAATACTAATTGTTTTAATAGCAAAAAATTACTAGTAGAAACATTAGAATACTATTTATCAGTGGACTATCATTTGTTAACAATGAAGTCGTAGTCACCCACTAGCATGACATAGAGACATGGTTAATTTTTTATTTTATTTTTAATCCTATTTACATTTTTGAACAGATAAAATCTGATCCCAAAGTGTTCTTGGAAAATGTTTCAATTGTTCTTTATCTATCAAGAAACTAAACACCATTGCTGAACAAATTAAAAAGACCAAATATTAATCCTCACCCAGGACTCATTCTAATTTGCTCAAATATTCTTAAGTTCTATTTTAAGCTGCAACAATATGATTATCTTCATGAGACTTTATTTTAAGCTCATTTTGAGTAAGGATTTAAAAGGGGAATGCATTTACAGCAAACCACCCTAACCTACCTACTTCTGTGGAAGAACAGTTCAATAACCAGTTTGAACAAAGCAGCCCGAGAAGCTCTTTTCAGCTCCAGTACTGACTCTCTCATAACCTGGTGAGGTCAACAGATCATTCTGTGATTCCGTTTATCATTATAAAACATGGACTATAGCATCTAATGGCTTCCCTTCACAGTGTAGAGGGAGGCAAGATAATAAAATAGGAAAGGGAGAGGTGATCAAAGTCAGTGTCTGATACATAAATGGTGTATGCCATGACATACTATAAAATCCTTTATGATAAGGGCAGGGCAAGATGATTAAGCATCTCCAGTCCACCGAAACCAAGGCGCTGAAGACTAAACCACTGAAGCAGTTATCCTCAATTGGTCTGACATCGCAACCCCATGTGGGTCAGAGCCAAATTGTGCTCCCTAACACTTTCAACAGCTGGTTTTTCAGAAGCAAAATGCAAGGCCTTTTTCTCCTAAGCCACTTCTACATGGACTTGAAACTCTAGACTTTTAGTTAGCAATCAAGGGCATTAAGCATTTACACCACCCTGGGGAGTCTCTGAAGTTGAAAAACCAGAAGTCAAATCCCTTGCCATCCAGTGAATTCCTACTTACAGCAACTCTCCATATGGTTTCTTTATAAGAACAGATAGCCTCCTCTTTCTCCCACAGAAGAGCTGGTGGGTTTGAACCACCAGTCTTATAGGTAGCAGTCCAACACTGAACAGTGCCGTAAGGCTTCGCTGAAGATGAAGAGAATTCCCTAATTAAAAATAAATTAATTAAATATAGGTTCCATGACCCAAGCCAACTGATTTTTTTAAATTAATGCAAAATATTTTAACCACTGCAAGGAAACACAGAGGCAGCCATTGACTGCATACATAAGAAGATTTACATGGGTCATCATTATTTCTTAATCTGAGCTTGGCTCTCATGAAAGATTCCTAGCTAATTTTTTAAAACTGTATATAGTTTGTTTCTCGATTATCTAAGTTAAATTTGCTCTGAAGAAAAACCTGGAAAATTAAATAAAATGGAGGGCTACGTAATTTTATATGTCAATTTGACTAGGCTTTGATATTTAGTTCGGTCAAATACTAGTTCAGATGTTATGAAGAAGTAGTTACATGTGAATAAATCAGTTGGTTCTATGTAAATCACAATGTGGGCAAACCTCATGCAAGTAGTGGAGTCCTTAAGAGTAAAAGGGGGTATTCCCTAGCATTACTTGCCGCCAGACAATAAATAGACATTTTTTTCCAGACGAGTTCTCTCTCAGTCTTCCCTAACACCTGACCTACGGACCTGGGGACACGAGACTATGGGAATCTTCAGCTTGTTTTTTGACTATAGACCTTGTGCTTGCCATTGCACAATAGGATGAGCCAATTCTTTAAAAACAGAACCAATAGTAAGTGTGTGTGCAAATGCACATGTCTGGTTGTTGGTGGCTGCCATCCAATAGATTCGGCCTCACAGTGACCCTGTGTGTGTCACAACTGATCCATAGTTTTTAAGGTTTGGACTTTTAGAAACAAATCACACTAGCTGGAATCTTCTAAGGTAAATTTGAACCACCAACCTTTCAGCCAAAAATTAAGTGTTCTTATCAATTGTGCCATCCAGGGATGGACAGATAACGCACACATGTATATACACTGAGAAACCTGGTGTGGTAGTTACATAATCTGTTGTCAATTTGTGACTTAAGAGTGAAGGGTTGGAGTTTAGCCTGCCAATCAGGTCACAGCTTGATGACCTCATTTGGAGGTGCTAAGGAGATAAATAGCTCCCTGGAACAAGGAGACAGGGTCACTTCTT